GTTTTGTGGCTCGTTTTTGGCAAAGTCTACAACAAGCTATGGGGACAGAATTACATTTCAGCACAGCCTTTCACCCTCAAACAGATGGCCAATCCGAGAGAGTGATACAGGTTTTGGAAGACATGTTACGGGCTTGCGCATTGGACTTCAAAGGGAGTTGGATCGATCACTTACCGTTGGTGGAATTTGCGTACAATAACAGTTACCAAGCGAGTATCGGAATGACGCCGTATGAAGCTTTGTATGGAAGACCATGTAGATCCCCGACATGTTGGTTGGAAGCCGGAGAGAGTAGTATGTTTGGGCCCGAGATTGTACGGGAGACAACGGAGAAGATTCAGCTCATTCGGGAGAGATTACGCACAGCACAGAGTCGACAAAAGAGCTATGCGGATAGGAGAAGAAGGCCTTTGGAATTCAAGGAGGGAGATTTTGTATTTCTTAAAGTGTCACCCAAGAAGGGCGTACTTAGATTCGGTAAGAAAGGAAAACTCGCTCCAAGGTACATCGGTCCATTTGAAGTGATCAAGACAGTGGGCAAAGTAGCATACCAACTTCGGCTACCAGTATCATTGTCAGGAGTTCATGACGTGTTCCACGTTTCGATGTTGAGGAAATGTCAACCAGATACGTCGCATGTCGTGGATTTGGAGGATATTGAAGTGCAAGATGGAGTCACCTATGAAGAGCAGCCGGTGAAGATTCTTGATATCCAGGAGAAAGTGCTTCGCAACAAGGTAATCCAGCTGGTGAAAGTCCTGTGGCAACATCATGGCGTAGAGGAAGCAACTTGGGAACCGGAGTGGGAGATGCGAGAGAAATATCCATATTTGTTCGCTACTTGAGGTAAGTTTCGAGGACAAAACTTTCTGTAAGGGGGGTGAATTGTAAGACCCTGTACTAAAATTAAATAAGAATACTAATATCTTAAGAGTTTTCCAAATATGAATAAAATGAGGATAAAAACTTAGAATCATTGTTGAAATATTAATCATGAAGTTTGAGTTTCGAACGGATTGACTTTTGGGTCAAACTTAATTTTTTTTTTGGATGTGTTTAAGATTGATAAGGGTAACTAAATAAATATATTAATTTTTTTTTATCAAAATAACATTACCATTGAATTCGGGAGGTCGGAAAACATTGGGAGAGGTAATATGGGATGTATTAGAAGTTAGGAAGTATTTTAGAAGTAAAACCAAATTGGAGTGAAATTGGGTAAAAAGGGGTGATGGACACTGCTTAGTATTTTGATCATAACTTATATTTTGATGTCCAATTGATCTGAAATTTTTACAGGAAATAGTAGACATCTAGGGCTACAAAAGTGTATTTCATGAAAAATTTCCAATTCGACCTCTAAATGGGTCAAAACTGACCTGGAAGTCGCACCAAAAATCTGTGAACAGTACGAAGGAAACCCGATTTTTTCTGAACAGAAAATATCGGGTTTTGCTCGATTTTCTTGCCCTATAAAAACCTAATGTCGTCCCTTTAGCATTCATTTCACCCCTCCAAACCCTAGGAACCATTTTAGAGGAAGAGAGGAAGATAGAAATACCAATCAAGAGGGATTTATACCTTGTAAAAATCAAAACTTCAAATTCTTCAAGAATACATTCTCCTCCCATTTTCTTCCATTCTTGCTACCCTCTCACCCAAATCTTTTGAAACACTAGGAGGAGAAGAGTAAGAGGAAAAGAAAGGAAAGCAAGAAGGTCTTGAAGCTTGAGTCTTAGCTTGGAATCTTGATTTAAGGTAGGGGATTTTCTCTCAATCTCTCACATTGAGGCTAGATATATATATATATATATATAGATATATGTTTCTTCACTCTCCTTCTCATATATATAATATGAAATACATGATTCTTGTTCTATTTGTAATAAATGTCATGTTTTGAACAATATGAAGGGTGGGTAACCACCAAAGCTCTATTGATTTTTTTTTTTATCTTCAAAGCCCTAGTTTTCAAGAAAAGGGGATTTTCTCCTAATTTCTTCTTTGTCTTTGATTTTAAAACTTTAGTGTTGAATATTGTATAACAAAATGATATAGATTACGATCTCTTGCATATTTTCTTGGATTATTCGATTATATGACAAATGTGAAAACAAAATTGGGGATTTTACTATATTTGGGAAATTGTTGTGAATTGTGAATATTCTTGATTTCCTCATTGTATGGTTGTTGTGATGGACTTGGATTACCTTCGAGAGATGCTGTAGAGTGTTAGAGGTTAGTCTATCCCAATGGGGGGTGAGATGGTTGCCTAATGCTCGTAGTGGATCGTTGTTGTGCTCGCGATCACTATTGTTCACATATACACCGAGGAAAAGGGTTAGTATACTAGACACCTTGGGAGGATTTCGTCAATGCCGTAGGAGACGGTACACGCCCTTCCTAAAGAGATTTGTGATTGTTGGTTGGAATTGGTGGACTAGGCATGATCGTTAGGTAGATTCACGAGAAGCAATCAACATACATGGTACGGGGATGAACCAAAAATACATGGAATCGGGAGTTGGGTCGTTCTTGCTGATGCATTGGTATGGGACAATGCTTAGGGAGAAGCCCTTCTTAAATAGCTTAAATTAGAATTTTGTTTATCGATGCTAAACTCACTTTATTCTTTTAACTGATTATTGCTATTGTTTAAACTTGAGATCTCTTTTAAAATGTCACTGTTTTCATTCCAAACCTATATATATGTTAGTTGTGAAATGAGACCGACCGTTTGCTATGTTTTTCAAACCTTGTTTGAGTTGAGAGGATTTTGCTACAGAGCTTCGTGCTCACCCCCTACAAACAAAATTTTTTCAGATTTCACACTTGAGGAGGAGTTAGGAGCCGAGGAGCCCACCCATTGGAAGACTCCGCTTGACGGGGATGTGGATCCCGAGGTGGACGCTTAGAGCGACACTTTTATTTTGTTCTAGACTAGATTATGCTTAGAATATCCTTTTGAACTCTAGTTCATTTCTGTTATTTCCGCTGCGTTATATTATTACATTTTGGAGATGTAAAGGCCAAGATTAGACCTATTAATTTGGGATGATAGTGGGGATATGACATATGATGAATGCAAGTTTATTTTATGATGGAAAAATAGACCCGGTGTGGTCAATAGTTATGCATATGTGGACCCGGTGTGGTCAATTTTAATATAATTGTACAGGTTGTGTTTTGGGTAGAGCTCCCCGTACAAAGGAGACTCTGCCCAAATTTTGTTAAAATATGAATGGTTGATGAATGAAACTTTCGTCGTGATGAATTTTACTTAATGCTCTCATACGGTAAATGGTTTTTAGAATGTAATGTCACCCACGGGGTTTTTGGGGCGTTACAAGGATTTAGAGGACATGAGATGTTGGATTTAAGGTTCGTTGGAACACAATGTAATTGTGGGAAGAAGGAAGCAATAAAGATAGTGGAACTGGAAACCGAGAAACCAACAAAAGGGAGATTGTATTTCAATTGTGAGAAAGGGGGTGCAGGTTCTTTGCTTGGTGTTATCCCCAATTAACTATAATGCTTCCATGTGCTGAACATGGGTATGGACTACGACGAATTTCTAGCTCAGATGGTGGTCATAACGCCAGGACACGCATGCACTTTTGAAGGCCCTCATTGTTGTGGTGTTAGTTGTTTTTGTAATGCAACTATTTAATATGGTCATGTCTATGAGAAAGAACTAGAAATTCTAGTGATGTAGTCCTATATGTAATGTTAGGTTGTGTTTTACCTATATGTAGGCGGTGTGTATGTCCTATGTATGCTTTTGGAGTTGTGCTAAATATGTAATGAGCTGGAATCAAGATTATGAAATATGTACTGGCTTTTGGAATTATGCTAACTATGTAGTGGCTTCAACACATTATAATAGCATCAATACAATAGTTGTTTGTGTACATAGTACACTAATAAAAAACTGCCATCAGAATCTCAAAAAAACACTAATAGGACTAATAAGTCAAAAAAGCCATGTGCACCATGTACATTCCTATGCTTGCTATGTGCACCATTCACAAGTCAGTATCCAAAATGTCATACAAAAAAGGCACCATTCACATTCCTATGCTAGCTATTTGCACCATTCACAAGTCAATATCCAAAATGTCATACAAAAAAGGGCACCATTCAGTTTCTAGAAGAAGTCAGCTTCCATTCACATTTGCCCTTACACTGGCCTGAGTGTCTGCCCCAATTCCCCTAACAGGATTATCAATTCCTTCTTGTGATATAGAAATTCTAGATTCACCAGCTTGAGAGCATTGTTGTGATTGTGGTGTTGGTACAGTTTACTGCATACATAAATACATAAACATAAAAAAAATATTGGACTAAAATTTTCATTTGTTATGGACATAATTAAAAATTACCTGAGCTACACCTTTTCCTTTGACAGGTGCTATTTGGCAAGTTTGTTTATTGTGACCTAGTTGCTTGCAAATCTGGCACCTAATTGTCTGCCCACTTCTCATTTTACTTGTGCCAATTGCTGGTTCATCTGTAGCTCTTCTTCGATTGTTTTGAGGCCTTCCAGGAAACTTGTGTAGAGGTGGTGGATGGAGAGTTTCTCTAGTTGGAGCCCACATCTTAAGGTCAGTAATTGGATGTATGATATCCCCATGAACCAACATATATTTTTCCTTTGTGAAATAAGCATCACAAAACATCTCAATATTCTCCCTTTGAGAACTTATTGCTGCTGTTGCTACATGAACACAAGGGATAAGTCCTTCAAGCACCTTCCTATACCTGACACAATTGTGATCTTTACTATAAGTCCTTACTTTAAAAGTAGGCTGATTTGGTAAAGGAGATGCATGAATCCTCCACTGGTAGCCGTCAACAACGCACTCAACGGTAACTCTAGTCCTCTCATTTTTCTTCCTTATTACTTTTATCCCTGTCTTTATTATATAATCCTTCAATGCATTTCTAAACAAGTCAACATTTCCAAACAACATCCCCACACAAAAGTCCCAATCAGTGTTTCAATCTTCAGGAACATTAAACTCCACTCCAAATCTTGAAGTATCACCGACATTGCACTTTCTTTTCCTACCCCTTCTATGTGTTTCATCCACTTTAGCTTCAATTTCCTCAAAATCTGTACTACTAACATATCCTTCATCCCCTGATTGATAATCCAAAAACCCATCGTCACTGTTTTCATCTAACTGTGTGTTGATGGTATCATCATTGTACTCATAACTAACATTAGGGGCATCATCACCCTCAACTATCTAGTCATCATCTTTCATCACCAGCACCCGTATGTTTATCCCCATTTACATAATCAACTTCATGCCTATTTGCATCCCTATCATCATTTTTAACATTACGTTCATTGTCATCAACATTAGGCTCTTCACCTATTCCTACATTTGGAGGAGGTGGGACTCTCCCCTAAGACCCAACATCAGCATTAACAAATACAGGTATCTCCTTACAATTTCTATACAAAGAAAACATTTTCTATAATTGTTCATCGCCATCAAGTACAAGTTTTCCATTACCATTTGGCCTATCAACTGTAATAGCAATCATTACCTTCGATAAACTATCACCCATAAAAACATTGGTAACTTCTGCAACATCTGTTACCATATCCATACAACAATAACTATCAGGGTCGACCCTATTAATGGTGAAAATAGAGTTGTTAAAATGAACAATAATGTCATGCTCCTGCTCGTCCATTTCTACAGAACCTTTAAATGGCCAAAAAATGAAAATAGATGAGGAAGGAGTGATGGACAACAATGTCTCTTACTAGGTGACTAAAACTTGAAAAAGAGACGTGCCAACATAATGAAAAATGAGGCTCAAGATCAAATCTAAATGGGTAAATTACATAGACAAATCTAAATATGTGCCAAACCTGTGATGGATTGAAGAGTCAGAAGAAGATGCCTTAAACGAGATGCTTTATAGAAGATGAAGAGCCAAGATGCCTTAAACGAGATGCTTCGTAGAAGATGAAGAGTCAAATCCAGACTTCGCCCTTTCTAGGTTAGGTTAAAGGTTTGTTTGATCTACATCCAAACAGCATTAGAGTGGCTTACAGATTTGGGTTTTTTGAAATATGTAAAAATGATGGGGATTAGGGTTAGGGTTTCTCTGATTCAAGCACGGTGAAAATGGTTTAGGGTTTGGATTTCTCTGATTTTGGAGTGAGGTATGCATGATTTGGAATTGAATCGACGCAGGAATCTCTCAAAGATGATTTGGGGTTAAATCGATTCTCTCTTCAGATTTGGGTTCTCTCTTGCCTTCTCTGTAGATGTGACGAATGGTGTTTTGGTTTAGTGCGAAGATATTTTACAAGACTATTATAGTCATTTTGATTTTGAACTGAATTATCAATTTTTTTTGTGACAACAAAAGTAGGGTAAGATTGTCATTTTACATTTTCTGTTAGCAGCGTTTCATTTCTAACGTTGTTGGGGACCGAGTGTCATTTGTCAAAAGTCAGGGGATGTTCGTGTAATAAACCAAAAAGTCAGGGGGTGTCCATGTAATTTAACCTTAAAATTAAATAGGAGACCTAATTGTATTCAACTTGAACAAACCAAGAGTTCTTACCATAATTAAGTCTTGAGACTTCACAAATCTAATTTTTGTCTAATTTAATGTTGAACAAAAATTTAGATCAAATCAAAGTAAGATTTGAAGAATTTTACAAGAACAATATGAACTAGTATTTTAAGTTCTACTTCAAGACTATCATTGTTATTCACCATGGATGAAAAACCTTTATCGTAGCCACCTTTGGACCAAAGATCTAACTCTAACTCGTTCCACCCTTAGTTCAATCTTGAACCTTAAACAAATTAAAAACTAGTTTTTAAAGAAAAACTTGTTACTACTTTTTGTAGCTACGTTTTTTCAATTTTAAAATCTGATTTTAAAACAATTTCAAATACATGGATCCATTCATATCTCATATTAAACATGTGAAAAAATCAAAATTTATTTTGTAGAACACTCATACAAAATAAAATATGTTATTTGAATTATACAATCCCTAGTATTGGTTAATCCCATTAACATGCTATAACAATAATCACATCAAGTTTGTATTAAATCATGTGTAATACAAACTGAGAAACCTTAGATCTATAGAGAAGATTAAGGATTATCTCTTGAAGTGTGATTTTAACAATTTTCAGGCTTCTCAAAAAATTTTGAATCTTCTAATTTGAATTTGATCTTTCCCTCAAGGCTCGCAATTGTTTGGCGACTCTTGGTATCCACACGAATTGAAAAACTTGAATGAAATTCCTCAACTTTTCATGAACTATTCGAGAGAGAATGAATGTAGATTTTTTAGAGTTATTTTATCATCTATTCACCTCCAATATGAAGGTATTTATAAAGCCTTAGAAGACTCTAATCCTAATTTGGATCTAGTTGCAATTATCTCATAATTACATAAAACTCCTTTATTAACTATTAATTATAATAAAGTCTCTAATTAACTCTTAATTAGGTTTTTACCCCAATTAACTCTTAATTGGTTTTCTCTCATTTATCCTTTAGTTCCAATTAATTTTATTATATGTGACCCTATAGGTTCAAACATATCCAATTGTAGGCATTCAATACTAACTATAAGTAGCATCTCACATTAGAACTCTTTCTAATTTAGCTTGAATTAGAACTATTCTAATTCTCCCTTTATGAAGAACAATTAATATATTATATTAATTTCATTGGGCTTCTACTAATTATGACTGATACCTAACTGCATATCATGATTAACCTCTAGATAGCACAAAGTAGGTAAAAAACACATTCAGTCTATAGTTATCATGCAATTCAATCATTCTATCACATAATGTCTAAATTGAATTACTAGGGTATAGAATTACTGTCAAACCCCTAACCCAATCTTATGTGTTCAATCTTAGGACTATGACTCCTAATGATCAATTAGAAATTTTTTCTATTTGTCATTCTACCTTAGCCAAGGACTCTTTGAATCATATCTTAGAGGATCACAAAGGACATTCTCCTTTTAATTACTTAGTGTGATAGATTCCATATTGTACACTCATAAGTCTCTATGCATGTCTAAATATGTCTCACAATACATATCAAAGTTACATGGTTAATTTATGAATAAGTTATACAGTTAAAACATAGAAGTTCATGCACAAGACAACCATGGTGTCTCAAGTTTAAGGATCAGTTCCATAATTATAACTTTAGGGTTTAACATTGACAGATACTTTATATGAAAATTTCTACATTAGCCAATTGTCACATTCAGTGTACTGGTTCTCTAGCAAGCACCCATGCACTTGCTTTAGTGTTTCTACACTAGTGACTTGGACTAGTCATCTCATATCAAATATGAGTAAACATAGTGTATGCTAGTCTATTCGGATTACATAGTGTCCATATCATAGTCCTATGACCATTTAAGAGTTAAGCACTAAAAAGTATAAGTATCCTCTTCTCAATCCCTTGAGAACTCATCTTCTTAACTAACACAATATGGACTATATCATGTATATTAAAATGAAATATAGTAGAAACATTATAAATTAACTTGCCCTTTTATTTAATTAAGTAATGAATGTTGTTAGTACAACCCCAAAATATCATATATATCATTGATCTTAGAGCATACTACTAATACATAGAACAACAAATAAACACACAGTAACATAACTAATGTCACAACACAGCCTATTTACATAACTATTAACGACATGAAAGTTAATTACAACATCAGATTTTTATGATCAATTCATAGTGACAGGTCATACACAACAAAAATCTTATTCTAGGTCCCAAAACATAATCTAACAATGGATCTAACAATTGAAACAAACAAAAAACTGAACCAAAAAAATTCCTAACCATATATATTTAGCTGAAATCAAAAACCATATGCTAAATTCAAAAAATGAAACCACAATTATGGCAAACGAACACAATAACAGAAACGGTTGGGTGATCACAATGAAAACAACTTATCTTTCTTCAAACAATATACAAATATTAAAATGCTAATTCAAAGTAATTTTGAAGAACATTAAGCAAATACACATTTATTCATCATACCAATATATCAAATTCAAACCAATTTTGAAGAAAATCTTTCATGAATAATAATAACAAACTACAAAAAAAAAAACAGAGCACCTCTATACCAACTACGAATTTTAATGAATACCTAAGTTGATGGAGGTACAAACAAAACACAGAGCTACATTGAATTAATGAGGTCCAATTATGAAACATTTTCTAATTTTAATAGAATTTGAAATTCAAACAATCATCAATAGAACAATATCGGTATAAGCTCCTAATTAAACGCTAATGAGCCGAATGACAAAAAGATTAATTAAAAAAAAAGCGCGTGAGCTAAAGACTTATTTACCCAAAATACTCCAACAATTGTCCTTACACATTTTTTCGTGTCCTTATTGCTTAAAACAGATAGAGAAATAAGACTTGTTTCCAATTTTCCAAAGGTAAAAATGTACGATGGGTAGATGTAGCGTTTTCGAATTGTGGAAGTGAAAAATGAAAAATGCTTTGATTTCATTTGACAAGACATACTAGCATTATTCAGACTGACAATAACAATAGCACTGATTTCACTTGACAATAACAATAGTCTTTGTAAGTTTATGGAGTATGCCAATTGGACCTAATTAACTAGACTAATATTATTTGGACTTAAAAATATGACTTAATTTGTTGACTTAATAATGTGTTTTTATTAAAATTATTGGATCAACGCCAAATTTTAATGTTTGATGAAACTCATGATCTATACAAAGGTCATAGTAAAATAAGTTAGTAAATTAGATCTCAATAGTATTACTCAATTAACTAATTTAATTCATTATAGTCGTTGGTTTGACAATAAATCTCAATGTTGAAATAGTTTATTGTCAATCAAACAATTACAATGAATTTATATCAACAACTTAATACCGGCAGAGGACTCGCATTCGGGGCCTCGAGGGTGAAGAAAAGCCGGTTTGTGGCTTTTGGAAACAAGTTTTTGTAAAATTTTGGTTAAATGCCATTTTGACATGTAAAATTACGCAAATGCTTGTAATAGAACTTGTATGAATCATGTATAATATAAAAAATGCTATTATACATGTTTGTGATGGATTTAGAAATGTTTTGAGTGGATTCGAAATCGAAAACTAATGAAACAGGGAAAGATGGACTCAGCTTATTGGTACATGTACCGGTACGGCGAGGTCCAAAGAGTTCAGCGTACCAGTTCGGTGAGGTCCAGTGAGCCATGCGTCCCCGTACGCGTACCGGTATACTTTGGCAGATTTTGAATTTTTTTTATTTTTTTCTTCTAGGGTCTTGGGCTATGCATCATTTAGTTCCAATGATACAAATGAACCTTAAATGAGATATATTGGGGTATATTGAACCTCGATAGGATTAAATGAATAATGAAACACGGGTGTTACGTGTGAGTTTGAAATTCCGGTAATGGAATAATATTAGCGTGATGTCGGATCCAACGGCACTCACGGACATTTCCGCGGGTTGACGAATGGTCAACGGGACTCCCGATTTTTGGGGCGTCACATCTCTAGAAGTTAATTATAGCATTTATAGGTGGTGGTCACTTGCATTTATAGTTTAATTAGGGAATAAGGAAATTCAAATTCTCGAGGGATCGCTCGAGCTGTGAGTGGACAAGTGTT